AACATTCAGCTTCAGTGGAACACTTCCATTGCAATCAGTTCGCTGACATCAATTTCAACTGGCTCCACAACTACCAAATAGCTTTCATTTCGTCTTCACTCTTCGACCCCCCCCCCCCCACCTAATAAGAACTTTTCTCTGCTGTATTTGTTAATTTAACGAAAGAAAACAAAGTTGAGCAGCAAAGCGGTAACCACATACCGATATGTCAATGTTGATACGTCAACGTTTGAAGGACTGAATGCACTAGTATTACCAGTTCGTAGCTCTGGCATAGAAGGAAGCTGTAATAGCCCAAAACCATTGGCTAATCGACCAAAATCTAATTCTGAACACAAAAGTAGGAAAAATAAACTACGAGTAATAACAACAATATTGTATATGGATTTATAAACCAAACAGTAACAACCGGCTGAAACCATTCTAGTGATTGTAGCCCTGAATTCCAGGACACATAACAGCTGACGATTAACGACATGCTTCTGTGATGACAAAAATCCTCCAGAATTCTTTAAATCCCATGTAGGTAATCATTATGATAGCCAACCAAGATATCTGGAGTGACCAGTTACTAGGGGACTCTATCAGAGGTGGCTGAATTGCGTCATACAGTGGTCACGAGTAATCCGACTAGACGACAATATCAGTTTATAGAAAAGACACTATTTCATTGACAACTTGTATTTCTAACCACCAATCTTCATTTGAATTATTCAGGAAAACAGAACAGATGGTATTTCTGAAACTGACTACACATAACACAACTAACGGAATGGATATTTGACTGTGTATACCTGTTGTTTTCAGGCGATTCCATGTATGACAGATAATACACAGCAGGTTACGCAATATATGCTGTGCAAGAAAGTGAAAGCTAACAGGGATGGCCAGGATCGACTGAATATTTTAACTATTCATTCGCTTAAAGCATAACTATTTTGCTTCGTAAAAATCATTTAATTTCTCTGCTCACTTTCTCTCAATACACTACATCATAAGTAGTATAACGTAGTGGGTAACATTGATGTAAGGCATAGAGTACTGGGTAAAAAGGGTAAGTCGATCGAATAAGTTGTGGAGCTACATCGATTGAAATGGCTAGGATACTTATTGCGCATACTAACTAATCGTCTTCTTCGTTGGACAATGTTAGCTGACATACAATTAGATAGGAAATGGGTTAGGGATGGTCAAATCACGTCAGCCCATGAAGTCTCTGACAGTTTGTGACAGCCGTGTAGGGGACTGCAGACTGCCTGTTTGGCGTCCTCGGGATTCTAAGAACCAATGGATGGAGACTAGTGGTGACATGGCTCAAAACCATCATGAATAACGCAGACGCATTTATTCTTTGTGGTCTCCTACATCTATTGTAAAATCATGTTTTTCCATGCTACCGCTGCTTCGCACATTTCTGATGATCATAATTCTTCTCAGTCTCTTTTTTCTCTCTTTTGTCTGTCTTAATGTGTTACATGAAGTATGGTGAATTGAACTGCTGCACTTCTGTGCAAAATGCTATGTTGATACTGAGTCACTCGGTCAATCATATTCTACATCAAAGTGCCCGACCGACAGCTACAACTTTAACGTCGTGGTCGGGCGTGCATATCACAATGACCCAACAAGCTACACTGGCTGGAACTATTGTTCCTGCAGGTGCTACCATGCCAGGAAGGTTGTTAGTATAACGATTAGACTAAAAGCACTTACCGGCATTGTGTAAGAATTTTTTACACTATGCTGGGGGTCTGTGGGCGAAGTCGTACTGCTGGGGAACAGGGATGTAACAGCAGTGAGGTGTTTCCTTCAGATGACCAGCATGCCACCTATGCTGTCTCTCCACTCTGGAGAGAGGGGATTATAAAATGTCAACCCCAACAATTGTACATCCCGACTTACCCTACGGTGGTCAGTAACCGGCGGTAAGTTTACTAACAACTCTTCCAAAAGCATACGAAGCTCTCCTGAGCATCATTCTCCCTTATCCACATCACCCTCATCATCTTACTTCCCTACTACAGTCAGTACTATTCTTCAGGCTAGTAAATCATCTTCACTCCAGCTCCAGGGACGACAAACAACGATGAGAGCCACAAAAACAACCACGAAAGCCTCTTAAAGCTACGTCGCCAACTTCATATAGGAGCATTTAACGTCAGGACCCTCTGCCAAATCGGACAACAGGCATCACTAGCAAGAACTCTAGCATCTTGAGTCATGGATGTATATTGTGTTTCGGAGAACGTATACAAGACCGGAGTGTGATCATTCACTTAATCTCACCCGGACAACAAGGTGAATCTATAAAATTCACTTTAAGGGTGTCAGGAGATCCCTCAGCTAGTTCGCGAGGACTCGCAGGTGTAGGGATAGCATTGAGTGTTAGGGCATAAAAATCACTACTTGACTGGATTCCAGTAGATAGTCGCATGTGCGCGGTCCGTCTGAACGGGTCCGTTAAAAGAAGGAAAGACGGTGCTACCCGTCGTTGCCTTTTCGTAGTCTCCGCTTACGCCCCAGCTGACTGTAGTTTGAATGAACCAAAGGATGACTTCCACCTGAAACTGTCTAATTTGCTGCAAAAAGCAAAACGTTCAGATATAGTTGTTTTAGCAGGCGACTTCAATGCCCACGTATGGAAGTTCTGCCAGGCTGAGAAGTATGTAAGTGGCACGTATGGAGTTCCCTGCCAACAAACCGACAACGGTGATCGTCTTCTACAGTTCTGCTCAGATAATCATCTGTTCCTAGTCAGCACTAACTTTAGGCACAAAGAGAGACATTGTGTAAACTGGCGACCTCCATCACCAAATCACCGTTGGACTCAGATAGACTACATAGCGATAGGGTATCGCTGGCGAGGATCAGTAGAAGACTACCTCTCATTCTGGAACACCTGCGTGGACTCTGATCACGCCCTGGTTCGCGCACATTTATGCTTACGATTAAACGGACATAAAAAATCGTTGGCAGTGAGGCAGTTACGTCTCCAACTAGATCGAGACTCTGAGTCCCTAATTAAGGAAGGAATAGCGAAATGAGTACCTGAGATCGACAGCAGGACTCCTCCTAAGGTAGCCTGGCACAACATACAGTTAGTTGTAGACACAGCTGTAAAAGCTATTAATAACCCTAAACCAAAAGTTAGTAAGAGCCACTGGATTTCTACTACCTCATCGGAACTCACTGACGCAAGAAGACTGATTCCGAAGAGCTCCAATTATGATGAAGAGCGGAAGCTACTCAAACGCAAACTAACAGGAAGCCTTCGTAACGACCGTGAACAGTGGTGAACGGCAAAAGCAAAGATGGAAAAGGCATAGGCGATTGGTAACATCAGGCAGCTATTTAGACTTATCAGGGAAACAGATAGTAAAAAGCAAACGATAAGTGAAAGTCTCTGGGAAAAATGGCACCATAATTAGCTCCCAGGATAGACGACTGGAACTCTGAAAAGAACACTTTGAGGAGCAGTTTAATTGGCCTACAGCCACACTCAACTTACCAAATATCCAACACCTCCCTGGATGGAAGTTCCAAACACAGAAATACTGTTCATTATCATTATCAATTGTAACTACGCAACTTCAAAACGTGGTAGTCCACATTCTTTCCACCCATTTATCTCACAGGATTATAAACAACAAATTGTGTTCAAAAATTTATTCAGTAAATAATACTGCTTCACTGTGTGATATATCTAATAAACAAATTAATATGGGAAAACGCACTACCACAGTAACCAAGTTTTACACACATGCTACTGAATTATATTATTGATCTGTTCACTTGCCTATAAAACCAATGAAATCGAGGTGGTGAGTTGGTGGCTCGACGGTAAAGTACTCGCCAACCACGCACATAGTTCAGGGTTTGATCCTCGGCCGACACACTTCTAATCCTCACTTAGCCGGTAGTTGTCTAGGTAAAGAGGGAACATTGGGTGTGAGGCTAAAAAATCCCACTCACGCTGAATAAGTGGTTTTGTTGTAGTTAAATTTCATACTACTGAGAATTATATTAACTTAAAAATAATCCTTATTCAGTACAATAATCACATCAATCAACTTCTCATACACACATGATTTTGGTCGATAATACTTATAACTCAATCACTGACTGGTTGACATATACTGTCTACAGTTCACTGAACAGTAGGACGGCAGAATTACTAAGAGACACAGAAACAATAGTCATATTCCAGTTAAGCTGAGATAAAATATTAAAGACCGGATTGGAAATCTGAAAATGTCTGTCTAAACATCTACGAGAGCCGTTAAAGTCGCGAATTTCACTTTTACTGATTATCCCCAGTTCAGATCTGTATAGTAGTCGAAACTCTTAAATAAGGGTGAATCACTTGACAATGTCTTTTATTGTTCAGCGTATTTTTCCAGCCGAAGTCCACTTTTAATAGTGAACTACTACATTAAATGTAACATAAGCTTCAAGAATATACTCATCGCTGTACAAACTATGGTTCGTATACATGCATACAGATGCTACTTACTTTTGTAATTAAGTAGTATATTGCATTCATGTTTTCGGTAAAATTGTACATATGATACAAATGCACGTGTAGCTTTCTCGAACAACAACCTTTTAAAAAGAAAGGAAAGAATTAATCATATTTCCATAGATCATATTCAGCTATACAAGTGTTAATAACAACAATTGTGAAGAGCTGCAATCATACGTCTACCAACTGACTACAATCCAATTTCACACGACAGCGAGTAAATAAAAACTATTCCGTTCACTTCTCTCCCATTTATATATGTGTAGTGTACAACCATTTACGCTAGATTCGATTAAGTATTTGAAGTTACACTGAAACTCACTTAACTGGAACAGATCTCTCAATGAAGCAGGTGATGAAATTACCTGAGATAGTCAAATATATTGGGACGCCAAACAATAAAACATGCATGCTTTAGTCACAACTAAAAGATGTCACTCATCGTTGAAGACTAATGTTTACTTGAGGTACACAGAGAGATGTAGACTGTCTGGCTGGGTCCCTCTGGAAGCTCAGAACCAATGATTTGAGACTTTCGGAATGATAAAATTTCGTGAAGAGTTCCATATTGATTCAGCTTAGTTCACTTCATAAACACTTACATTCAACACAGCTCCAAATCTGTTTTTTTGCCACTGGATAAAAAAAGCTATTTGACCCAGTCATTCACTATTCAAGGAAAATAGCCATCAGCATATTCGAGAGAAACGAACAAGAGGCTCAGCAAAGACCTCTTTTCAGACACTTAGTCCTTAAAAGATGTACAACCAAACGTTTTCATACACAAGTTCATATAGTTACTTAGTGAGTTATTGTTATATAATTCAACATAGCAATCAAGACAGATTAAAGGAGATAATAATTTTTAACTTGATAACAAATTTTGAGGGTACGAATATAAGTTACAAAGGGCATAGTAAGATAACTACACAAGATTAGCACATAGTTTCGTGATATGTAAGGTACTTTTCAACGAAGATAAATGTGAAACGGATGAGCATAGAAACAAATTGAAATAATAGTTTCTATAACTGAAGATGAAATAATGAAGGCAGAGAAAAAAGACAACTAGGAAATCAAACAAAACTAGATCCATGGTGAATGTAAGTGTTGGACTAGTTTCTTTTGAACACATAGTTCCGTCTTCTCGATGCATATGCCGAAAGTTTCTATAGGACAAAGAGTGACTGGAGTCGGGATCATACTGCCTTTGGTAGATTTTTGTCCATTTTGTAAATGATGAGTGAGTTAAAATGATGTGACAGAAGTTGACAAGATGTTTAATTATAGAGCCTTTGACTGAACCAGCGCCTCCCCTTTACAGTCACGCCTGGTCGCATTCTCTAACACGTTTCGAAAGGACATGCATAGAACGACCTATGTACCTAACTCCACAGGAGTTGAAAATTACTACCTCCTCCAATCTCCTTTCGTTTCTATGTTAACTTAAATAATACTTGTAACTATGTAAACTTACGTATAAAAATATGATTGTACAGCTTTTGAAGATGAAGTCCTCGAAAAAAATATCTTTGCCGAGTTTCTTGTTCTTTTCAATCACTTTTCATCAGAATACTTGCAAAATCCAAGGAAATATCAATGAATAAAAAGTGGTAACAATGCTACTTACTCACTTATCATGTCTGCAAAGATTCCGAATACGTCCAGAAATAGACTCTGGTGTATCCGAAGGAGATAATGGGGTCATATGTTGTTCGAGTTCTTCACGTTCCATCTGTTTTAAGTTAACCTAATTATTTTTTAAAAGAGAAAGAGTAGTACTGTTGAAATGGTTAGTGAGGCAATTATTTTTTATAAAGAAGGACTACGGTAACCCAAGTTTGTACTTCATTCTATCAAAAGTTACACGGTAAGCCTGGTATGGGGCAACATGAGAACAATTTCAAAACCCGTGATGCTGTTTCAGTAGATGTTCCAACCATTAAGTTGTATAACACAATATGGTTAGAATTTTACAGTTGTCTAATGCACTTAGGTGATATCTAACCTACTCATCTATCTCGTTAAAACTCGGTTACCGAGCCTATATTATAATTTTACTTAGCATTAAGATGCAAACTTGGTACATCATAGGCACCAAGAGATGTACCACACAAAATCTCAGTTTGAGCAAGGGTTGAAATACTGCCCGGATAACAAGACCGAAGCAGGTGGTTGTCTTCAAAGACTACCCTCACCTCCGAGCCTTTGACTTGAAGTCCGACCCACAAGGCACTGGAGCAGAGTCAGAAGCAACGTTACCATGGTTGACGGTGACCAAAGCAGGTTCATACGCCATTCCATCCTTCTGGATTCTGGAGCCCATATGTTTGGAATCAGGGTTTTTCCAGCTCCCCTAAGTAGGTAGACCTCCATGTCCACCGTTCTGGTTGTAAGCGCCAGACGTTCGCATTCGGCTTTTGACCTTTGTAAGGAAAAAGCCTCGCTGCATGAAAGTAGTAAACAGGACTTAACCGGAAGAGGCGTTGCCACATGACAGCACTTCAAGAGGGAGGCCGAATTCTGTCCACTCTCGATAGTACCAGGTAGTTTGTGGGACCTAGTCACATATATTTTGTGAAGACTGGTGATACTACTTGGTTGCTTCGACTGAAGTATGTGCAGCGGGATTCGAATTCACTTGGTTGAAATTCATGTGGTTTTAAGACAATAGAGCCACACCGTCTCAAACGTGCCATGGACAAATATACGTAACCAAGATTATGTTTTAAATTCATATCAAAGAAAGCAGCATAACATTTAAAAAACAGCTGACTACTGGCTGACAATGAACACTGTGACAGTATGTAATTTGATATAATAATTATGAACAATAAATTGTATTCCAAGCATTATGCAGCAGATAATGTGGAATAACTTAGATTTGGAACAACTGTTCATAGGATCGATCTGTCACAATTCATTAAATCACACAGAAAAGAGAACATAAAAGCGATGATACTATGATACACATATGCGAGTGAAGCAGACAATAATGAAATGAAGATGAGAAAAAGAGAATACAACTGCCATACTGTGAAGAATTTTCAGCTATGTTGCTAATAGTTGCCAACTACAAATTCTCACCATTTTGTGGTCCCCAGACAAGAAGTTAACACCAAGTCAGGTGCCCTCACTTGACAGTCAGTGATTGCATGGATTGATGACATGTTTTGATTTGACCAACCATAACTCTTTTTTAACCTATTTTAACCTCAGAAAATATCGCTCATCGAGAGTGATGACTCTGTATGCATATGACAGCCAACGCAATCAATAAAGATTCATCACCTAATTGATTGACTCATTTTTACCACCTAGTAAACACTATATTTGACTATGTTATCACTTAATGTGAGCGAATGAGAGGAGATACTAGTGATCATATGTTCCACGACTCACGTCATCAAGTAGGATACGTGAATTGCTTCCCTGCATACCTGTATGTATAATTTTCCTGGATGGCAGCCTCGAGGCGTTAAGAGTCTGTGATTTCGAAAGGTGGCTGGTGTGTGTATATTATTATTATTGTTTCCTTTAATTCCTAGAGGAACATAGGGCTTCAGCTGCACATCTCCAATGCGTCCGGTTCTCTGCTTAAGTTTTCACCTCGCTCCACCTCTGCCCACATGCTTTCATCTCCCCTTCACATGACCACCTCCAAGTCATCCTTGGACGACCAACTCGCCGCTTCCCATTCGGGTTCCACTCAAGGGCTTGTCTAGTGATGTCACTTGATAGTTTCTTCAGAGTATGGCCAATCCATTTCCATTTCTTCCTGCATATTCGCTGCACAATTGGTTTCTGGTTGGTTCGCTCCCAGAGATCTCTATTGCTGATCCTTTCCGGCCATCTGATCTTGAGTATTGAGCGAAGACATCTGTTAATGAAGGTCTGTAGCTTGTTTGAGGTGCTCTTTGTGACACGCCAAGTCTCTGATCCGTGTAGTAGCACTTACTTCACATTGGAGTTGAAAATCCGGATGTTATTTTTCATGCTGAGTGCTGTTGACCTCCACACAGACTTGAGAGTAGTGAAAGCTTGTCTGGCTATTCCGATTCTTGCTTTGATATCCTCGTCAGTTCCGCCTGTAGTTGAAATGATGCTTCCCAGGTAGGTAAAAGAGGTTGTTTCTTTCAGGTTCCTCCCATTTATGCTGATCGTTGTCTGTTGTTGTTGTTCTTGCCCAGGAATCTTCATCACCTCTGTTTTTTCTATGTTCACCTGAAGGCCTATCTTTGATGCTTCTTCTGCCAACTTGTTGCTTTTCGCTTGCATATCTTCCAGTTTGTGGGAAATCAGACATATATCATCGGCGAAGTCCAGATCCTCCAAGTTTTTTGTGTGAGTCGATTTTATGCCTGTTTCCACATTGCCCGCTGTTTGTCGCATTATCCAATCTACTGCAATCAGGAAAATCATTGGCGATAGTAGGCAGCCTTGTCTTACTCCTGTCCTCACTTCGAAGGATTCCGTAAGTTTCCCGTTGTGGATTACTTGGCAGGCAGCATTGTCGTACAGCTGCTGGATGAGATGTATAATTGTCGGTGGCACCCCGAAGTAGCGAAATAGTTGCCAAAGCACCTCTCGATCGACGCTGTAAAAAGCCCTTTCAAAGTCGATGAAGATGAGATAGAGAGCTGACTGCCATTCCAAGCTCTGTTCAATGATGACCCGTAATGTGGCGATTTGATCGATGCACGACTTGTTTCTCCTGAATCCAGCCTGTTCCGGTCGAATTTTTTCATCCAGGTCGTGTTTGATTCTCTCCAGGATGATGCGGCTTAGTATTTTGCTTGGGATGGACAGGAGTATAATTCCGCGCCAGTTCTTGCATTGACTTAGGTCTCCTTTCTTTGGTAGTGTGTATATAAGTCACGCCAAAAACAAAAGAACTTCAACACATCTGTATAAACACTTGCACAACTGTATATTAATATACCACTTTTCACATTGAATTACCTGTTGATTGATATCCAAAAAGTTGATGTAGGCAGCCTCTTGAGAAGTAATGAACAATAAAGCACTACCTTGAGTTCCACATCGTGCAGTTCGACCACAACGATGCACAAATGCACTGAAATTTAGTAAGAATAAATAAAGATGCAATACAGTAGAAACGGAGATCTAAAGACAATTTTTAATAACAAAATAAGTATTCAAATTGTGGTTTGCAGGGATCACGAAATAACATGAGTTAGAGAACTATTGAAAACTAGGGAGCACTAGACATGTTTCATCCCAGTTTGGGACCCCCTATCAGTGCGCACACACCACTCGATCATGGATTGGACATAGGACCTTCAGCTTAGAAGGCGTGCCCACTGACAATTAGGTAACTGATACGGAATTTGATGGCCAGCCCATGAATTCTAACTTTTGCCAATTTGTAACGTATGACGCAACCGCTAGCCAATGTCATCTGCGAGTATTCATCTTCACACGTAACTTAGTGGACCCCACTGACTACAACTCATTAGAACTCAACGCACTCCATTCTGTAGTCAGTCACTAGGGTTGAGTCTCCGTTGGGATCACGAGTACGCAGTGTTGAGGAGTCCCAAGCCAGGATAAAACACCTGACCAATACTCTGTTTTTCAATAGTTCTCTAACTGAGGTTGGGTCGTCACCTGTCTTGAAAACAAAAGGTTACATTCAGCAGTAATATATACAACATAAATTAAGCAGCATATCCTTACAATCCATGACTCCAACGATGTCTTGTTGACCCACAACCTTGGCCTAGAAATCAATGTCTTGAGTTGAAGTTTTTAGCTTCGGCTGGTAGGATTTCAAGAAACGGATTAGCATCATATAGCCTCCGATTATAATGATTAGTTTCAACAAAGCAAGAACGAATGTATATGTTTACAGGATGAAAAGGTGATCCTTTTATTTAACAGGGCTTTTCTTTAGCTGCTAACAGTCCAAGATTAACGTGACGTTTTATCATAAATGTAGACAGATAACAATGAGGTTACTAGCCTCAACAACCAACCTTCCTTCTTTTCCGGGCTTACTATCAGATAGCTGAGTTTAGAAGTGCATCAGCCAGGAATTAAAAGCCGGACCTACTGAATGACTGGCGAACATCCTATCATGTCGCAAATGCGCACAATCTGGAAATCGTACAATTTTGAATGCGACTTATCAGCTGAATGATAGCTTATTCCTCTAGAAACCTGACGGTTGATAGAAGTGAGTTCGGACTGATGTGGTGTTTTAATGTGCGGAAAAACAGCCCTCCCGTAACTCTTTGCTTTCAACGATTTTCCAGCTTATTATATGTGATAATGATATCTATCAGTTGCATAGTCACAAACCTAGCTACAGAAGTCCTGATGATTTGGTTTATTGACTCTTGGTTTCAGTGAAGTAGGTGATTACAGGTGGCCTAGTTGAGTGAATTCGGAATGCTAAGAACCAACAGTTGATTCAAAATCGTTTATGATAGTGCAGATGTAGTCATTTCTGTTCCCTTAGAATATAAAAAGAGGTAAGAATATATATATATATATATATAATTTAACTTACTTCGCACTAGTTGGCGGATCACATTGAATAACCCAGTCAATATGTGGTACATCAATACCTCGTGCCATTACATCAGTACATAATAAAACCCCACTACAAAAGAAAATTAGATATAACCAAAAATGACAACATTCTACATTGATACACAGTTGGTGAACTTTGAAAAAGCAGAACTATTAGATTTCAAAAAATGAGTAAATCGTGTGCTGGTCAAATTGCAACTCTACATATCATCACTGGGAAAAGCCCAGAATGGCAGTCAAATATCTACCTTAACTTCACCGAATATGAATAGGTGTTCGGTAGCAACGACCGTGCAGCAACTTGGAAACTACTTCAGCACTACGAAGTACAGTACCCCAAATCTTAATCAACCTCACTCAGCAGCTATATGACGATGTCACATGTCAGGTGATCCAAAACGGAAAACTCAACGAAGCCTTTGGAGTTCCATTATGGGTAAATTTTTATTTTGATAGAGTCTCACAGTGTTATACAGTAATATTTACTGATGACGTTTCGAGCACAATTTATTGCTCATAATCATATCAAGGTAATCACACGACTTCCTAAATTCATTTATATAGTTCCATTGTTTTTCACTTGATTTGATTGGTAGTATTATTTTCCATATTTCAGGTATGAGTGATGATTCATTCCTATTGCATGTGTTGGGTGTAGATTCGATGAACAAAGATTCAGTAATCAAACTCTCTCTCCACCTACCTAGATTACTTTTTAGAATTTTAACCCTCTCCCACCCTATTGTGTGGTTGTGTGTTAATGCATGTATTGCAATTGCCGAGCTTTTTTCTAAATTACTTATCTTCTCGGGGTCAACCATTCTTACCTTAGCTAAATTCTTATGTTCTGACAATCTGACTACCCCTGACCTACTAGTTTGACCTATGTAGTTGACCTCACAGTCATTGCAGGGTATTTTGTAAATTATATTATTTTGTCTAATTGGGTCACCGGGGTCCTTTAACCTACAGAGCTTGTCCCTGAGTGAGTTTGTAGGTTTAAATGCCACCCTAATTCCTGCTTTATTTAGAATCCTACGTAGGGTCTCAGATGTCCCTTCTTTATATGGTATAACCGTAGATGACTTATATTCTCTCTTATTTATTTTATTACTACTAGTTTCACAATTCTTTTTATTTTTCTTTTGGCGTTTTTCAATCTTCCTAATGAATTTTAGAGGATAGTTATTTAAAACCAACGCCTCTTCTATCTGTTTTATTTCATCATTCAGGTCTTTTTTTGTGCTACTTAGTGCTACTGCTCGGTTTGTTAAACACTTAACTAAGCCTGCCTTAATAGTTAAAGGATGAGATGAATTAAAGTCTAAATATCTATTAGAATGCGTTGGTTTTCTATAAACACTAGTGTGTAGTTTGCCTTCTTCTATTCGTTTTATTTTACAATCTCCTTGCTCATTTTCGGTTTCAAATGTGAATTTTATTCCCTCTACTAGTGAGTTTATGTGTGTCAAGAAGCTAGAGATATGTTCTGTTTTTAACACTGTGAAAGTGTCATCCACATATCTCCACCATATTTTTGGAGTAGGATTAAACGTATTAAGTGCCATATTTTCCCAGCTATCCATAAATATATCTGCCACGATAGGGGATATTGGTGATCCCATTGCTACACCTTCAGTTTGTCTATATATTTTGCCTTGGAATCTAAAGATAGTAGATGTGAGGCAAAGCTGAACCCCTAAAATAATTTCTTCAATGGACAGCTTTGTCCTATGATTGAGTTCAGTATCCGCAGTTAGTTCTTTTTTAACTGCTTCTAAGGCCATATTGACTGGTATATTAGTGTAAAGACTGGTTAAAAAAGAACTAACTGCGGATACTGAACTCAATCATAGGACAAAGCTGTCCATTGAGGAAATTATTTTAGGGATTCAGCTATGCCTCACATCTACTATATTTAAATTCCAAGGCAAAATATATAGACAAACTGAAGGTGTAGCAATGGGATCACCAATATCCCCTATCGTGGCAGATATATTTATGGATAGCTGGGAAAATATGGCACTTAATACATTTAATCCTACTCCAAAAATATGGTGGAGATATGTGGATGACACTTTCACAGTGTTAAAAACAGAACATATCTCTAGCTTCTTGACACACATAAACTCACTAGTAGAGGGAATAAAATTCACATTTGAAACCGAAAATGAGCAAGGAGATTGTAAAATAAAACGAATAGAAGAAGGCAAACTACACACTAGTGTTTATAGAAAACCAACGCATTCTAATAGATATTTAGACTTTAATTCATCTCATCCTTTAACTATTAAGGCAGGCTTAGTTAAGTGTTTAACAAACCGAGCAGTAGCACTAAGTAGCACAAAAAAAGACCTGAATGATGAAATAAAACAGATAGAAGAGGCGTTGGTTTTAAATAACTATCCTCTAAAATTCATTAGGAAGATTGAAAAACGCCAAAAGAAAAATAAAAAGAATTGTGAAACTAGTAGTAATAAAATAAATAAGAGAGAATATAAGTCATCTACGGTTATACCATATAAAGAAGGGACATCTGAGACCCTACGTAGGATTCTAAATAAAGCAGGAATTAGGGTGGCATTTAAACCTACAAACTCACTCAGGGACAAGCTCTGTAGGTTAAAGGACCCCGGTGACCCAATTAGACAAAATAATATAATTTACAAAATACCCTGCAATGACTGTGAGGTCAACTACATAGGTCAAACTAGTAGGTCAGGGGTAGTCAGATTGTCAGAACATAAGAATTTAGCTAAGGTAAGAATGGTTGACCCCGAGAAGATAAGTAATTTAGAAAAAAGCTCGGCAATTGCAATACATGCATTAACACACAACCACACAATAGGGTGGGAGAGGGTTAAAATTCTAAAAAGTAATCTAGGTAGGTGGAGAGAGAGTTTGATTACTGAATCTTTGTTCATCGAATCTACACCCAACACATGCAATAGGAATGAATCATCACTCATACCTGAAATATGGAAAATAATACTACCAATCAAATCAAGTGAAAAACAATGGAACTATATAAATGAATTTAGGAAGTCGTGTGATTACCTTGATATGATTATGAGCAATAAATTGTGCTCGAAACGTCATCAGTAAATATTACTGTATAACACTGTGAGACTCTATCAAAATAAAAATTTACCCATAATGGAATTACACTCTACAACAGTGCCCAAGTTTTATTCTTATATCAAAGCCTTTGGAGTGAAGACAGAGACAAGACAAGGCCACTTACTATTACCGGTGATATTCCTGACTGTGATGACTGCATCATTCAGCAGACTATGGGGAGCAAGAAGACAGGAATACGTTGGACCGACAAGAAGGCTCCAGAAAATCTGGACTTCGCGGGTGACCTATGTCTAACATCACATAAACTGGAAAACCTACTCGCAAACAACCAACAAGCTGGAAGAAAAGGCTGCAAAGACACGAATTCAGGTGAACAAAGACAAGACAGAGGTGATGAAGATACCTAACTAGTAACAACAAGAACCAGTCGCTTATCTAGGCAGCATAGTTCCAACTACACGCAGCACGGATTAAGATGTCAAGATGTGCGTCGGTGGCCCAGTGGTTAGGACTCTCGCCGACCATGCACATGGTCCGGGGTTCGATCCCCCGCCGACGCACACCTGATATCTATGGTCGGCCTGCAAAATTTGGGCTACCGATATCACATGCTGAAAATTCCATACCTGTACCAAAAAAAACGTTGTGGAATCAAGCTGTAATAAAAAAAAGTTAGTAAGGAACGGAAAAAAAGGCAGACTTCCATTTGATCTCAAATCAGTCTGGAAACCTACTACACTAAGCATAAAGAACAAGAATCGGATTTCCAACACTAATGTTAAGTCAGTACAACCATTTGGTTTAGAGACTTATCGCGCCACCAAAACCAATTCCAACAGGCTACTGCAGACTTCCCTCACCCCCTCCCACTTAGCTCCATACTAAAGATCAGGTAGCCGGAAAGGATTAGCAACAAGGAACTCTGGCAAACGACGAACCCACAAAGATCTTATTGCCCAAAAGAAAGAAATGGAGATGAAGTACACACATGTTGAGGAGACCGTTTAGTGACATCACGCGCCAAGCCCCAGAGTGGAATCCGAATGGAAAACGATGAGTGGCACATCCAAAAGTGACGCAGAACAGATGAAAGCTTATGGGTAAACATGGGACCAAATAAAGTGATCGCACAGAGCAGGATGAAATGGAAATGCATTGCTGCAGCTCTACATTCCACTCAGGACCTAAGGGAATAATAGTAATATACCGCTTTTCCGAAAGTAAGAAGAATTATACCGTCTAACAAATACAGCTAATAACTTTCGTCAAATTAGTATTCTTAATTCTCGATATTCACAGTCAATAAGATGAGCGTGTGAAATCCAACACTTCACATGATGACGGTAAGGTATACCAAACAACACCACTAGTCTTTACATATTATGAACTGTGCACTGTCGAATGCATGAGAATGCATCTGCTCGCCGCTTCTTACACATACACAAAGTTTTCGTGATAATACCTACCAGGAATGGTGGCCACATTGCAAACCTGTATAATAGAATTCATCTATAAAACACAAAATAATTGAGCAAAGAATATCCTTTTCGATAATTTCCTCTTCTGGCTCTACAATTATATATATATATATATATCCAGTTCTCTGGATCCGATTGAAAAGATAGAGAAACAGTTAGCGGAAGCATTGAGAAGACTGAAACAACAAGGCGTTATCTCACAGTCAGTATACATCACTTAAACCCACTGGAACATTCGCACCAAGATTATATGGCTCGTCTAAAGTGCACAAAAATGGTGCACCGCTTCGACCAGTATTAGATATGTTAAATTCACCATACCATCCCGTAGCCAAATGGTTAGTCGAACTCTTACAGCCTCTTCATACCGAGTTGTTGAAACACAGAGTAAAGGATACTTTTGGGTTTGTTGAGAGGATAAAAGATTTAAATGTTGACAATAAATTCATGATTTCATTTGACGTATCTTCCTTATTCACCAATGTTCCACTTATGGAAACAGTGGACTTTG